ACATTTTTATTCAGCAAGACATTTTGTTTGTAAAATTAGTTTATATTTAGATTTTTATGTACAGTCTTGATGTCAGATTTTCCTAGTCCACCAAATAAAGCAAGGCTTCAAACTCAGCTTTTTTTCAAACTCCTTATTTAACAACCTCAAATCATAAAAATGTTGACACCAATAAAATTTTAGTCATTGAAAAAAAAATACTAAATAACAACAGAAAAGGACAAGGAAAAGGACGTATGTCTTACATTGAAGTTTGACTTGCCATGGCAACCAAAATACTGGAAGCTTCCAGTGCTTGCAATAACTATTGATTTTTCCTTCAGGGGAGGAAACCTATTTTTCTTTGTTTCCAGCCTCTGAACCAATGAAATAATTCCTGTTTATGGTGTCAAAAAAGAAGCCCTCGTTCTAGATAGTTATACAGTTGTAGTTGAGAAGAAATGTAACACTGATGTTCATTCATGGATGATTAGTGATAATTTGATGTTGAATGATGATAAAACTGAGTTTATGGTGATAAGCATGAGCAAGTAGCTATCTAAAGTGTCTGTTAGTGGTACTAAGGTTGACACATTGATGTAATTCCCATATACTCAGCAAAAAATCCGGGCTCCTGGTTTGACTCGCTTATGGATGTGGCAACACATATAATAAAGACCTGTGGTACTGCATTCTTTTATCTGTATAATTACCAACACATACGGAAATACCTTACAAGTGAATGTACTAAGAAACTGATTCATGCATTTCTAACCAGTCTGTTAGACTATTGTAACAGTCTCCTCAGTTCCCGACAATCACATGCAAAAACTCCGTGTCATGAATGCCTGTGCACATTTGATCTTCTGCACACCGATACACTGTCATATTACAGTGCTCTTTCAACAGCTTCACTGATTACCTATCCACCTATGTATCAAGTTTAAAATCCTTTTGATCACTTTTAAAGTACTCCAAGGCTCAGCTCCTAAAAATCTCTATGATTTAATTTCTGTTTTACCACCATCCCATAATGATTTACAGCAAAATAATGAGGGCATTCTTAAGAGCACCCCAAAGCATTTCACGAAAGCTACCATGGGGGATTGATAATTCATGGCAGCAGCCCAGCAGCTTTGCAACAGTCTTCCCATAAGCATTAGATCTGCTTGCACCAAAAGAGATTTTAAACAAAAACTTAAGACATTTTTATTCAGCAAGGCATTTTGTTAGTAAAATTAGTTTATATTTAGATTTTTATATACTTTTCTTATAGCCAATTGTAATAGTGTAGTTTTTGTCTTTGATTTTATAGTGTTTGTAAATAAGTTCTTATTTTGTATTTATTGTAATGTTTGTAATGCACAAGACACTAATGTAACAATCCATTTCCAAAGAAAACTGAGAATGCATGAGACACCAACATAACAATTCATTACAAGAGAAAACTGAGAACGGGCAAGACACTAACGGAACAATTCATTACAGGAATAAACTAAGAATGTGCGAGACACTAATGTAACAATCCAATACAGGAATAAACTGAGAATGTGCAAGATACTAACGTGACAGTCCTTGTAAGAAAACTGCTATATCTCCTCTGTATTGGGAGTATTAACCCCTTTCACTCCCAATATCTTATTAGTAAGTCTCCTTACTGTCTACCATACAGCTCTTAAGATGTTGATTTCGAGAATTTGGTATTGGATCAACTATTGATCCCCTTTGGATATATTTCTTTATTATCATCTTTTGTCCACTTGATATCATATTGATTTTGTGTTGGTTAAGCAAACCCACACAATGATTGCTAACTACTTCACCCATTTCAAAGATAAAGTAACATGGTCAACATTTTTATAAATAAAACAACTAGTGTACTCAATTAAGATTGCAAGTTATGTTATAGGAGTGAAGATGCAACTGTTATGCTTGTGCTCCTAATATACTACAAATTATTGTGTAATAATCATTATATCACTCATGGAACACAAGCAATATGTCACCCATTTGTTGGTGATTTTACTTTGTAACATTCATCCTTTACTGAAAGTAATAACAACTCTGATCTTTGAAATTGTATAAAAGATTAGGCACAACAATGAACAGAAAAATACTGAAATTCTACCTGCTTCCTACTCAGTTATGCCTGCCATGGCAAAGTTTGCATAAACAATTATCTCACTCAACCTAGCCTCATCCACCAATATTTTTGTGTGGAAAAGTGGACAAATTAAGCATTGGCTTTGCACCACAAGAGCAACCTTAAATGATTCATCAAGACCACTAATTGCAAGTTCACAAACATGTTTCATTTCTTGATTTCTACCACAAGTTGGCCATGGGTATTCTTTGATAAATATCTCAATGATTTAATTTTTTTTAACACCATCCCATAATGATTTACAGCAAAATAATGAGGGAATTCTTCTGAGCACCCCAAAGCATTTCACAAAAGCTACCATGGGGGATTGATGCTTCATGGCAGCAGCCCAGCAGCTTTGCAACAGTCTTCCCATAAGCATTAGATCTGCTTGCACCAAAAGAGATTTTAAACAAAAACTTAAGACATTTTTATTCAGCAAGGCATTTTGTTAGTAAAATTAGTTTATATCTAGATTTTTATATACTTTTCTTATAGCCAATTGTAATAGTGTAGTTTTTGTCTTTGATTTTATGGTGATTGTAAATAGGTTCTTATTTTGTATTTATTGTAATGTTTGTAATGTGCCTTTGATTGCTTTTAAAAGAAAATGCACAATATAAATATCAAATATTGTTCTTATTGTATTGATCAAAAACTTACACTAGGAAAGCCATATACAGAGTATCTGTAAAAATATTGGCTCTGCTTTGGGTGCAATCAAAAGAATATGGCATCTTATTCCTTATAATACATTACTGAATATGTACAATTGTTTAAACCCACCACATTTTCGTTACCGCGATGTTGTTTGGGGCAACTGCAGTATTTGCCTTTATTTCCTGAAAAGCTGCAGAAGCTCCAAAATCTTCTAGCTCATATTCTAATGCTTGCAAGCAGTGGAAATGATATCAATAAGTTATTCCAAGCACTAGGTTGGCAAAAACTCAATCATTACAGGGTAGTAGCTCCATCCATTATGATGAACAAGAATCTACAAAAATGACTCCCTAATATCTAATATCTAATATCTTGATTTGTATTTCAAAATGACTCAGTCTTCTTACCAATTGAGGAATTCAAAACACAAATTGGCTCTTCCACAGCCCAAATCAATTAGTTTAGAAGAAGTTTCTCTGACAAAAGTGCTGTCCCAAGATCTGTATACTGTAGCTTCCTTAAATAAATTTAAACGCAAACTATGACACCACAGCTCCAAATGAGACACAGCACAATTGAAAAGCAGCCGGAAGACATAATAGGTTTTATCTTAATTTATTATTTAGATTAACAAGGCAGAATTAGATGTTTTACATGTAAATCTTGCTAAAGGAATTTTTAAACATGAATAAATAAAGTTATCAGTGAATCAATTAAGCAATGTACTCATTGATACTGTTGACTGGAATGGCTTGGCAAGCAAAAGGCAAAAGCAAATTTGGTGGATGTAAGCAGAGTGAACTTCAAGTTTCAAAGGAAACTATCCCAAGTCAGAAATTTTCATTTTCAATAAAAATTGCTTTGCGTATGATACAGCAAATTAGATATTGGCTATTCCACAGAACAAGTTGACACTTCTTGTTATATACAATAACAAGTAGCTTTCTGGAAAGGATTAAAAAAACAACAACAAAACAAAACCAAAAAAGATATTGGATTTCCCTCTGTAACATATGGTCATCTTTTCTGTCCATGTTTAATTGATGTCATTGTACATCTTTACTGTCATTCTGAAGCCGTGCTTACAGAACAGACACATTACCCAATATCAATTCTGTCCAAATAAGAGATAAAAGTGCCAAGGATAAAATTTGTAACATTGTATAATAACTTTTCTCCAAAAGATATTATGATGTTGAATTAGCTTAAAAGTTGACTAGATGTGTCCTTGTCAGTTGGTTGAAAAACCCTAATGTTTAGAGGGTGGAACTAAATTGCAAATGAAAAAATACTTCTTTCAGGTATAAACTCTTGGTTGAAATGCAATGTGCTAGTTTTAAGGTAAAAACATATTCAACAGTTTCTAGATACCTTTATTTTGACAAAATGCAAAATAATATTTTAACAGCTTTAAATGAATTTTTTATAGTTTTGCAATATATTTTTTTGGTTTGTTCACACTGGTCAGTACAGCTTTGAGACTATTTTCAGTGGATTTCAACACAAAAAGTTTGGGTCTGTCACACTAACTGCTATTCATTTTTGCTCTGAAAACCAAATTCTAGGACAAAATTAATTATGTGGAGAGTAAATAAAGATAAAAATGAATGTTGAAAACAAATCTACAAAAACCACCAATTTCACACCTCGGTCAATTTCAATTTGGCATAAATTGTGCAATACACCCTCAATCATACTAAAGACCCTTTTTCAATTGTTTTCACAAGAATACAGCAAAACAAATTAGGGAGATTTCCTTTCTTTCAGTGATCTAAACATTAGGATGACTTTTTAAATAGAACAATTTCCACTATTATCTGTTGCAGACACCAAGTCAATCAAGATAACAATGGATGTAACCTTATATGGTAAGCTTGGGATGAAGAGTATAAATAAATAATAACAAAAGGAATTATCGCACATGGAATAAAACGTGTTTGAATTCTTGACAAGTTTATATCTCAAAGAAGTTTTGACAGGTGTCAACTGCGTCTCCTGAAGGTATCACCAACAAAAAATGGAGTTTTTTCTTCATAAAAGTTCAAGAAGAAATATATTGATTTCTTTCGATATGCATATTTACCACTGGATGGACTTGGATCTACATATTGAAATATACAGAGTGCATCTGAAATTGTCATAATCATTTATGATCGAAATGCACTCCACACGTGCAGTGCTAGACTGCAATATTACCCGTGTAAAACGAGAAATCTCTTTTCATATGGATGGTTCGTATTAACACGTGCGGTCCATCACGACTATCGTAAACAGATATTGCATCGCGCTCTTTTTCAAAGCTAACATTTACTTCGCCAGAACTATATTCGATCATCATTGACCAAAGGCAGACATAACATATGTACATACATTTACTTTGTAGAGTTTCCGTGCTTTTCCCACGTTTAACCCTAAGTAAACCATCATCACGCCAGAGGCAACAGATGTGAGAACAACATAGCCATATTCGTTTGGGATATTCATCGACACCATTTTGAAGTAGAGAGCGAGAGCGAGAGCGAGATCGAGGCTACGAACTCTGACTCGAGCTGAACGAAATCGAGGCCAAAACCGCATGCTTCCAACGTGATCAGCAGCTTTTCATTGGTGAAAAATTTATGACAATAAAATCAACCAATCAAATCAACTACTGTAATGACGTATCTTGTCGCTATTGCACTATTTGAACGCGCGAAATCATCGATAGTGATCTTGATTACTGTCGCTGTCGACGCTAGTGGGTAGTCAGAACTGAAAGACCGTTTTCGACACGAGAACCTGAAAGAAGAAGAGAGCGAAATGAAGTACGTCGTCACTGTTGTCCTCTGCGCCGTTCTGGTCGCTTACTGTAATGCCAATTCAACGGTAGTCGCCGCTAATGCAAGCTCAGTGCCTACTCCGGTGTCGAGTGTAGTTCCTGTATCGAACGCAACCCAAGCTCCAACGACTGAGCCAGCCACAACGACCGCAGAAAACTTTGGATTCAATACTTTGCCCTCCATTTTTGTTTTGATTGCAGCTTTCTTGATGGCTGCTCTCAAGTAAAGTTTTTTTCAATGGTACATGTAAGAACGGTTGCCGCCACACCTTCCTGAATTGAAGAACTTTGCACCTCTAACGTTCAGTTTAGCTGTTTCCTCAAGCTTTGGTTAAACAAGAGTTGTGGATATTAATCCTGACATTCTCAGACAAACTTATTTAATTTAAGATTTCCAGCTTCTTGGCCATTCTTGGACCATGTGGCGTTTACGAAACTGACACTTGGCGAACGCATGAAGATGGCGTGGCCTTCAGCGGCACTGTTTAAGCAAAAATCTCCTTTGAACTGTAAGCTTTCTTTCATCTCCGCTATTTGTCTATACTAGTGTGTTGTAAATTGTTGTTGTCGGATAATTATTTAAGCATTTTTACTGCTCTAAATTTCTATTTTGTAAGAAAATGTACTGGCCTTTCGTTACTACGCTGTAGGATAAAATGGCGTATTTAGTACAGAATATTAACGTCGGCGTGAATAGTTTTCGTAGGGGAATCGTTCTTTTTCCTTCGTGTGTCATTTAATTCAATCTTGTATGAGTTTGAACCATCTTGTCTTGAAAAACAACGCCTTGTGCGTTGCCTACTTTTGGGCGCTGTCGGGCGTTGGATAATTTCAGTTGTGTGAGGATGGTAATTTTGTTGAAGCTGGAAGAAATTGTCGATGACTTTGACTTGTGTAAAACATTGTTGAAATAAATATTTGTTCACTTTGAAAGTACACTCGAAAGCGCTCTGTATAATTCTCCCCACATCATTTCTCGTCGCGAGACAATGTTTAAGCGCGCTTTTGTCATGAAGGAGAGATGTTATGCAAGAAAAATGGTTTAGGAGCGATAGATCGCTTTGCCGCCTATCTAAAATCTTACCATCTCTCCTAGTTTTCAGAAAACTCGGGTCTTGCGTGAAGCATAGGGGCATTTTCATTAATTCCTCGCCTTCCTTACATTTAGGCACGGCTGTGTGAGCAAAGGGGATAAAAAGTGCGCCACCAACATAGCGCGTTTCCAGAGAAATATGCAAATTTTGAGTCGGAAAGGTTGACTCATTATACTTATTTGTGTGGTCATTTGAATCGCATTGTCATGAGCTCATGACGAATTCTTTTGGGACCTAGAAGCACCGGTCATAGACGAGAGTTTTTTTTCTTATTACAGAACAGTGCCTAGCGAACTTTAATTTCGGAATCACCACGGTTAAGCGGAAGATCGCTTGATTTTTTTTATCGTATTATTATTTGCGACGCTTGTGGTTTTTTAAATGTGGTGGAACAGAGTTTTATTGATTTAATGCCTTGAAACAGCTGCCTGTCAAATGATTCAGGAAGATCGAATATACAGCCTATGTCCAACTCTCCATCTGTGAAAACAATCAATCGAGACAAGCAGTGGCAAAATGAAAGGTCGAAGGCTGATTAAGCGCTTCTTTCTGCCCTTTCATTGGGCAGTTAACATGAACGAATTTAAGACAATTGATGTTTTCTAGTACATGTCTTCATTACTGACAGCCATTCACAACCATGTAAGCCTGTGGTATCCAACAAACATACCAGTTTCACCATATCAACACTGGTTACTATAGTAACCATACTTTTGTACTTTGAACCTTGATTACAATTCTCAGCTTAGGCATAGACTCTCGACGACACACGAGGAAACAAACTTTAATTCTTTGATGCTGAGTTCATTTTCATACCGTAACGAATGCGTTATTCCAAAATATTAATTATCACTAGCATCGTTCAACATCTTTAATTTTTGTAATTAATTCTGGGACTGTCATTATAAGCAAATTATTAATTCATTCAAAAGAGAACCTGTATCTTGTCAGCTTCCAGAAAGTTTAATAGGGTGGCCAGGAAAACACAACCACAAAATTCTGTTGAATAATCAATCAGCCTCAAGCGTAAGCGAGCCAAAGAGCTTTGTAATTACATTTCCGTCAACTGCATACCAAATTAATGTTCATTGTTTTGGAAGACACCTTTTAGTACAACAGAGCTTAATCCCGTACAGGCCTGAATTTTTTTTCAGGCCTTATTTTCACTTCTGCTTAAGTAGTGTACATTACTGCGAGGATCACTTTCATATTCAGGTCTTTATCCGCAGTTCAAATATATGACTTTCACATATTCTTAGCCAGAGCTTAAATTCGTCATCTGTGGGAGTAAAGGAGGACTTCGTCATTTTCAAAAATAACGTTAAGTTCAGCTTGGCTGACAAACAAACGAGGTAGCGTATTCGGGGAATAACTTTTTTCCTGGTCGCTATGAGTGAAAAGTGTTTTACTCTTATTGTACTTAAGGGCCTCGAGCAAATGAGCTTCAAAAGTTATCGAAATGCCGGGCGAGTTGGAGTTGAAGCGTCTCGTCTCATGGGAAAAACAACGAAAAACAGAACTTTTAACGTGGGCGTATTGTTCCTACCTCAATGCCCATTTCATTTTTTACTGCTTGCGCAATGTTGAGATATATTTGTTCTTGCATCATCAGTTGTTCGTCCACCCGCCATCCTTGGATCGGCTGAGAATCACCGACAATTTGTCGAGACGGTGCAATATCGGTTATAATTTTCAGCATGCCCTGCAAGCACTAACTGATTAGCCATAAAAATCGCTATGTCAAGAGAATAACGACGTTATGTTTCGTACGAAGGTGGGAAACCACTGAAAAGAAAACTATTATTTCATTTTTCAAATCCACCTTGCCATTAGCATTGTAAAATTTAATTGAACCTGAAGTTTACATGGTTGGGCAGTTACGTCACCTCCACTATTATGGAGGTTAATAACTCTACTCATGAATTCCTTAAAGTGGAAAGATTCTTCACTCAGACTAGGATCACACGAGAGGAGATTTTTCCGGATTCATAAATGTTATTGAATTCATCAATTTTACGGCTATCGGATTCAACCCTTTACACACGTTAATACATCCGCAAACATTCTTGACTGAGTGGTTACAAGGCTGCATTCTTGCCTCGATCGATGACAACAAAATTCCGGAATCAAATGTTTTCGGATTCGATGTTCCAACTTGGAATTTCGGATTCAAAATCTCCGGCGACACGACCAATAAGGGGAGGTTTTATTTCGGATTTGTCTACTTGTGTGTAGACAGCAAAACAAATCCGGCACTAAAACGTACAAGACTCATCACGAATTCGGAACAATTTCTAATAGAGTAAACCTAGTCTCAAGAGTGGTTAAATATTTCCGTGCGTCCGGGGGTCCATAAGGCGGGTAGCACTAACTCAGATTTAAGGGAAGTTTTATTTTAATATCCTTGTATAAAAGCGAGCACAACAGATCGAACAGATCGATTGAAATAACCTATAAACCTCCATGCCGTATGACAAAATAATAGATGTTCACAGACCCTTTTTTGCACGTCCCAGACCTGGTCTTAAGCTAATAGTCCAGCTTAGTGGCCCGGGAAGGAATACACAGCTATAAAGATGTACTTAATTGTTAACGTGCACGCCACAAACACATACAACGAAAATGGAAATTAATCACAACTCTAGTAATTATCATGGATGGTAAAGGGAGCTCGATAAATGTAAACTAATGAATGGACATTTTTGATCAAATGGTTGCAATATCTAAATACATATCTTCCCATGGCATCCACACGTAAGCGAGTCTAGTTGCCTGCAGAAGATCGAGGCCATAAGTGTCAGTCGGTCAAACGTTGGAAAGTTGAAGCGGTCTGGCTTCGGAGCGATACCCGCAAGATATCATAAAACCCTCTAAACTGAAAAACGACGTGAATGAAATGCGTTCTCCTACGTCGCTACGCCAATGCAACGCTACCGAGAAACTGGCGCCGGTGCTTTGGTCGATCTGGCTTATTTCAGTAAGGGGAGGCCTGCCGCGCAGTGTTTTCGACAAGAAATCTAGCCATCAAGTAGACCAATTGACGTTCATTTCATGGGGTGTGTCCATACAAAAGCTACGCGGGCAGCACCTGGCAAAAGAAGCAACACAGGTGTGTTTCATTCTTTGGTATTTCATTTTTATTGATTCCCTTTCTTTTGTCCTGTCATCAGTAACAGTAAAAAGTTACAACGAACTTAAAAATTTAAGCAATCGAATGTGACAGATAGATGACTTTTTTAAATTAAATAGAATACATACCTACACTAAACAGTAAATTTGAGTGGATTTAAATCTTTCAATCAAAAAATATATAAAATATTTGGAAACGAATGTAAAATATATATCAACTAATGATCGAAAATATAAAAATATTAAAATTACCACATCTGGAATATGAATCAAGATAATAAAACTGTGTTAAAAGAGGATTTTAAAAATCAATCTTCCTTTAAAACCTTTCAAGAAGTAAGGATATCGAAAGTCGATAGTGGTTATTTCCACTCGGATTAGACCAGTTTTCTCACGTTTCATTGATAACCTGCGTTCATTGACTTGGAAAACCTCTGGCGAGACCACTGAAACTATAAATTCTATCACAAAAGAAATTTGGCAAAAGCTAGGTCTGATAGCATTTCGGTCGCCGTACTGTATTCCGCTAGCTATTCACAGTTTTAATCTCTTTTTCGTCCCAAACCTGCGAGTGACACAATCGAGGGTGCAAAACGCGAGAAGCATGGGAAGGAGAGAGAGAAAACTGCGAGCAACTCTTTTCCCAACACCCATTGCGCTTATTCTCTCGTTTACTCGCTCGGTAACAACTGCAATCGATTTTCAGGATCCAAACCCCGAAGAAATAAACACATTCATAGTCCAGAACTATTACGAAAGAAAAAAGAGGAAAGAACAAACTCTCGCCTGAAGAGTCAGCTCCAGCCTCTTCACAACGTCCTAAATTTCCAGACAGCTCGCCTATGGGACTCTAATTAACTAATTTTGATATTTAATCCTAATAGTCAGGCATACACTTATGATCATTGACCATTTTGCATATATAGATTCATTTTTCAGTTAAATCTAACAAACTACTACAGATATATTGTATAATTCTTTAGAGAAGTAGATTACAATTTAATATCGATTTCACTAATTAATAATCATGAATATACTTTAGTGTATTTTCAACAACCTGTGATCAAAAGACAACTCGGTGTCGATCTCAACAACCAGTAAAGGACTAAAAGTGATGATTATGAAAATAATTTCGTAATCTTAAATATAACATATACATCATACCCCCATGTAAACATAGAATGATGGATACAAAATTCCCACGCACAGGACACGCTCAAGCAGTAAAACTTCGATCAATCAATGTTATAATCAGTTATGAAAACATCATAAAAGGCCCGTTCTTAGGATGGCGACTGAAAACGTGAAAAAGCAGCAAATATTAATCTAAACACAAAATCAGTACCTGCACCAAAATAATCACCATTTGTAATTGTTATTAAGTCTAGTGGAGTGCAACATAGTCAGAATTCATACATATTTTGAATTGTAACCGAGTGCACCAAGCGAGATCGATTTCGAATCAAACGTATGATTTTAGACCAAAACTGCACACAATTAATACACAAATACACAATTTTGAAGACGCTCGATTTCATCGCCTAAATAAGAGCTTTTGGCCCCTTTTCAATCATACATTCATTTATTAAGCTATCGATTTTCTTTTAAAGCGAAGATTCGGTGACAAAATTTGCACAATTTTCCACATAATAGTCTCATGAACGTTCGTTTCCTGAAATTTCCTTTGAATTTGTAATTGTCGATATTATTATAGTTTTTGGTATCCCATAAACCGATTTTCATACACACATCTCAGATGAAAAGTTAATGCCCTATTTTTTGATAATATGAGTTGCACTTCAAGGAATTAAAAGATTTAAAAGAGTTAATATTATTATTTCAAACTTTCGATGTGCATTATCTGGACCATTAACTTCCTTTCTTAAAAGATTTTTTCCTAGAGAGGATAAATCTTTTGATTCATTGGACAGTTGAAGCAGGGTCCATTCCCACGCGCGTAGGTCACGCGAGTAATGCAACGATCATAACTAATGATCAGCTATGTTACCCTCTTTATTTACGGTTATTTTAAAGTGGCTCATATATCTGAACAAATATTCCCTACTTCTGAACCAGGATTTATCATTACCATGGTAATTCTCCTACATCAACTTTCCCAGACGTCTGCAAGCCAGACTAAAACAACAGACTCGTCCTTTAAGGAAGTCTTTTTGCTTCGACGACTCGGGTACGATGCGTGACCGTAGAGACTGGCGCCAAGACTGCGATAACCTCGCCCACAACTCAGTACTAGTGCCTTCGCCTGTTCACCACGTGAAGGAACGACAGGCGTGGTTACCAGGGGAAGAAGGTGTTTAACAGACTCGTCATGGCAGCGTATTATAGTATATACCATGAGAGAGATATTGTTACAAACAAGAATGCAGCCATAGCTTGTGCCGATGTACAATTCTTTGTCTACTGCGAGGAGGGAGTTCACTTGAGCACGGGAAGCTAGTGACAAAAAAATAAACAGCTTAATTTGTGCAAATCTTGAGACGTTCTCCAAGGAGGTTTAGGCAAACTTTCAGGACAACTTGATATAAAAAAAAATCAGACTCTACTGTAAATGAAATGATGCATTAATTTTATTGATTACGGATCTCAGTTTTTCGCTACTTACGGCTCAAAGGATTTGGATCTGCGCCTCTCCTAACAGGGGCTTTCGGTTTTGAACCTTCAAATCTCGGTGGATACTGTGAGCAATCAACACTACGCACAATCTTCTTCTCCAGAGCGTCCCATCGGTACACGCGAGTACCGGGGAACAAAGCCACCCACACGGACCTCCTCGAGGGACTATCTCCACTGATGGTAGAGCCGGTGGCCTGACATGTCTCAAGATGAGATACACTGTGTTCTCTTTGTGAAGACGAATCCGGTTCACTGTCTTCGGCTGATTTGGTGCAAATTTTCTCCATGTCTTCACCGTCGAGAATTGTTAGCGTCCCTCGTTCTTTTCCACACCAAACCTCACAGACGTACTCGTCACAGGGGCTGTTTCGTTCATCAGAGTCCTCAGACGAGTCTGCCCCGGCGTTCGGTGGAGGTTCATTATCCTGGGGTTTCCTCAGTATCAAGGCTGCGATGCAATGAATGGGAATTCCATCACCGGTGTAGACCCGGTTTGGTAGGAGCTCGAGAACAGGAGTTTGTTCCGACTTATGAGTGTAATGATAGTGATAGTGATTTGAGATATTATCGTCGTAGGCCAGAACAGAGCCATCTGCAAGCGCCACTAGAACCCAGTTCGCTCGAGGGACGTGGATCATGCTTAAGATGTACCTGTTTAAAATAAGGATCTGTTGAGCCTGGAATGTTTTGAAGAATAAACTTTCGTCACAAAATAAATCCCAGTTTTCTTTATCAGTTTATGATACAATAATTTTTTCAACAGGTCGATTATCCTAAATAAGTTTCATATCTACTAACATTCTATCACAAAATGCTGCAATCTAATTGGCTACACTACTCACTATTCTATTATAGATAGCGAGTAGTGTGAGTAGCCTAACAGTGTGTAGTTGTAAAAAAAAACAAAACGAAAAAAAAAAATGAGCTTGTCTTTTTGTCAAGTTTTGAATGAATGGTAGAAAAATACTTAAAAAATTACGAGAAAGATAATCATGCTAAACACCTGTTGGACTTGATTGTTCCTTGACACAGCTGTTTATAGGTCATCGCACAAAACACGTGCAGTGTGCCTGACTCGGTCCCAAGCCACACCGTACTACCCACGCTACAGGCAACCCGAATACAGGATTTGCCTACAAAGAACTCCTGAGAAATAAATAACAAATACAAATTAAGAGAAGTAGATTGCAAGCTGCCCACAGTTTATGATGAAAAGTATTAGCTCGAAATGGGTCCTTCTTGATGGCCTACATGTGAATCACTGCCACACAATCTCTGACCTTGAATTGCTTGTCAGAGCAGTTTTCAGAATACCAAAACCACAGTTATCTCAGCGACCAATCAGAACAACGGTTGATATTATCATTAGCCAATGAGAACTCTAAGGGAAAACAAGCAGACAGTTTAAAGCGCGAATGACCAAGACGCGATTGCTTTTAGTTATGCATCAGTCTGATTGGTCAAGAGGATGGTGCGAGTTTTTTTGGACCAATCATAAAACAAAGTGAAACAAAAAGAAAGCAATCCCGATTACTTGCGACACACAATTGTAAATTTCTTTACTGAGTTGTATTGAACTTCATTGAACTTAAATTTCTTTACTGAGTTGTATTGAACTTCAATTTCAGCCACCCGAGCGAGCACTCAACTCAAAATCTCTGAAGTAGTATTTACATTCAGTGCAATTAGTCGCTAGATGATACTCTGCTATCTGAACCCTTCCCTAGTCCGGTTTGACAGACTTATACCAAGTTGAAAATCAGCGTCGCATTTTCACATATATTTACCTTTTTGTGATAGCACCGCCCTCGGCTGTAGCCAAGGACACTTATTTTCCCCATCCCTATCCCAGCATTCAGCTCGCTCCGACACAACCAGACCTCTGACCCCACGCTAGCCCTGTCGTCCGCCCCGCGGCTTTGACTAACACGTGACCCAGCAGTGACAGCACAGTTTAAGCCCAGCTGTTGACAAAAAATAGAAGAATAAACAAACTTGGAAAACGCTGTACGTCAACGATAATAAATAAATAAATAAATAAGTAAATTTAAACAAAAATCGATATTTGTTTGGCCACTTGTTGCCTTCCCGCAACCCTGTCAATGTTGGCTGCCGATATACCGCTCACAAAATGGTAATTGACAACATCGGAAGGGGGCCGGAGAGGGAAAGGAATAGTGCAAGTGGTGTTCAAAGGAGTGTCACAACTATTTATGTCTGAGAGCTTACCATCACAAAGGGTACAAAGACTTATTGCTTTGGGCAACCCCATAGTTTCCAGAGAAGATAAGCACATAAGTAATTCTCCCCGATGGTTGTGTGAGTATCCTTTTAATCGTTTAACACTTTATGGTGATCAAATTTTTAATGCATAAAATTGCCTTAAAACAAAAAGAAAAAGTGGAAAAGTATTTTTCCAAGGGTAAAAAAACGACAGAGAGGAAAAACTAAACCAAAAAGAGAAGAAAATTGAAATAAAAATATTGAAAAAATTCCAGCCATCAATTTCAAGAAGTGGTAACCATGAAAAACACTTAATCACAAACCTGTTTGTCGAAAGTGATGACGTCAGAGAGGCGAGGAAATTCTGTTGCAGAAGACAGCTGTGAGATGTGATGAGACGGGGGTCTCTTGTCCGCTTCTTGTTGCCAGCACCACGCCATCAGGTCGAGCACAAACACTGGAGCTTTCTTATCCTACAAAAGGGTAAACCGTTCCCCATATAGATGCTCTTAATGTTACTGCGCATTTCGAAATTTGTTGTGAAACCAAAAACAATGTGATCACAATCACCAATCAGAATGAAGGCAAACGTTACAAGGAGCCTATAAAAACTTAAATTTAAGAACAAACAAGCGTCGAGAAAAGATAGTCACCAGAAGCGCGGGAAAACGAAAATTTCGAATGGTATCAGTCTTGTATCTGATTGGTTGAGAAGGCGGCACGAATTTCAACGACCAATCACAAAGGGGAGGAAAGCTTAACCAACAAAATTCAGAAGCATTTCGATACTAAATTGAACTGGCTAATTCTGTCTACCCTAGTCGAGAACCAAAACCAAAGAGACCAGAATAACCAATCATAGCAAAGAAAATATCACCATGAGCCAATGAGAACTCAAAGTAAAAACAAGCAAACTGTCTGAAGCGCGGGAAAACGCGGATGACCAAGTCGCGATTTCTTTTAGTTTTGGTTCTGATTGGTTGAAAAAGTTGGGCGAGTTTCCTAGAACAATCACATCACGAAATAAAGCAAAACCGAAGCAACTTTGGATTACTTTCGAGATTCAATTAAAAATTGCTCTAATAAACTAAGATGATTAAATACCTTGGTAGTAAGTGGCGGTCGATGACCCTCAACGATAAGCTGTTTGACCTGAGCTGGGTTGAGATCATTAAACGGCTGGTGCAGCGTGACTAGTTCATAAATGTACATTCCAAAGGAAAACGAGTCCACCTTATCCGTGTAAAGCTCCTTCCCGACGTACTTTTCGATCTCGGGGGCCATAAAACCAGGAGTGCCTCCCAGTCCCTTCATTCCTGCTAGCGCCGCTGACCGGCTGATTCCATAGTCGGCCAGCTTTATAACGACTTGATGATGTGATATGCCCGCACTGAGGGGGGCTGGAAACACCCACACCAAAATGTTCTCTGATTTGAGATCACGGTAAATGATGTGGTGGCGATGTAAATATTTAATAGCTGAAGCACACTAATGATGAAAATGAACATGCATTTTGTAATACTGAAAAACTTTATAAGGTGAAGGGAAACTTTTGAATTACAGTGAAGTTGTTTGAAGCAGGTTGAATACTGGTTAAGTAAATTGCGCGACAGCGGTTGAAACTAAAATTGTTAAAAAGCCCGTAAAGAAAAGACCCAAAAAATGAAGAAAATGCAATCGGACCTATCAAATCTGGCTGTTTCAGGCGGATACGATAACACTTAAGGAGGAAAAAAATGTGATCTAATGTTATCAGATGAAAAAGAAACTTAAATTTCTCAATGAGCTGTCCACGTCGGCTCTAAGAAAGGTTTCCACTGAATAAAAAACCGTACGAAAAAATTTGGGATGTGAGATATTGACCGCGTAACGCAGGGTGTTCGCTTCATGTGGGAATTGCATTCATAATTCTAGATAATGGGAGATGTCGTGGATGGTGTCTCATTTTCATGATTTTATTGACTATAATGGGGTTGCATTTTCAATAGAATTTCTAGAGTGGGTTCTATTTTCAAAAGAGTTACTAAAATAGGGTCGCACATTTTTGGGATTTTGGGGGTAAATCAATTATGGTAAGCAGGGATTTACAAGTGGGAAGATTCATGATTAAAAAGTTGCTACCAACTAAGGTGGGATCTGTAATTTGCTAAAGAACAGACTACAATAGGCTAACGTCACATACCCAACAAACATTGACTCAAATAACCCCCCCTTCTCCCGAATATATATCAGGTACTAGGTACCAGTCGCTTCGTGATATGGGAAACGGGGTACACTTTACAGGGGACGTTGGTACCTAGGCCCGTGAGAAGATATGAACGAAAATAAAAACTTCTAAGACTAAAATGTAATTAAATAAGTTTCAATTTGAAAATTATCTCGTTAATATTTGTACCTGCACAATACATTTCTGCATGACGAAAGCATTCAGCCTGACTCCAACTCTCTTATAATTAGCAAGAATTCCGTCCAAAGCCCCTTGCGGCGCAAACTCCAGAATCATGCTGAAAGGGTTTAGACAGTATCCTAACAACGACACGATGTTATTATGCTTCAAGGGAAGGAGAATGGACATCTCCTGACGAACGGTCCTGTAAGAAATTCACAAATCAATCAATCAGTCAATCGATCGATAAATCAAGTAAGGAAGCAATCAGTTCAGCAATCAACGATCAAGATTAAGTTTGTCTGTTAGTCGCTAAGTCAGACAGTCAGCTAGTCAGTTAGTTTGCCATTCTATCGCTGATGGAGTCAGGGTGAGTCAGTCACTCAGGCAGTTACTTGGTTGGTCAGACTGTCAGCCAGTTAGGTCAATGAGTCAGCGCGTCAGTACGATAGCCACTCAGTCAGCTACGGAGAGTATACTCATTAGCCAGCCAAAACTTTGGTCAGTCAGTGTCTCTAAGTTAGCAGTCACCGAGCCAGCGAGTCAGTCAGTCAGCCAGCTTTTTGTGTCAATAAGTAATAAGTAAGTCCATCAAGATCAGTAACAGTGAACCTTAATTGTGCGGTACTATTCGTTGGAGGAAGGGGGAGGCACTTATAATTTGTTTTCACCTGAAGGACCAACAGCGTCCAGATCGATGTCAAAAATCGATTCAGGCGGTGATTTGGTCAGTCAGGAGGCCAATCAGTCAACTATGATTAGTCAGTTCGTCAAGCACTTGAAGGATCAGTGAGACCAAATCGACCTCGTTAACAGTGCCTTCAGGTTCACAAGAGATAACTAACGTATGGTTCAACTCAGATTTTGAATGACTTAAAGCGGCTGATTATCATAAGCTGGGCTTTTAAACGTAGTACAAACTATGATTCCCCAGTAAAACCCCATAGGTTGGGAGGGAGGGTATGTAATCTCTTGGCACTGGTGTAACTCGGTAGAATCTCAATCAAACTTCACATTACAAGGAAGTCTTGTTTAATTTTTCAATTAATCCATCTGAACAACCCTTAATTAACTGATCCACCTTCAGCTTCTCTCCGGATGAGATTTGTAACGATTTACTTTTTGATGGCGACGCTTCTCACTGAGTAATAAAAAAAAGATAAAAGTCACACTGTCTTCTCACCTGTAAGCATCATTCAATGTCACCGTTGGATTTTCTTTCAGCGCTCTCATAGCCGCTGCAGCCATTTGCTTTTCTTCCGCTGGTGCATCATCGCCCACTTCATTGTTCAGCGGCATCTTCATGGCGATAGTTATCGAGTTCCCGGATTCCTGCCTCAGCTCCCCGCGAAATACTGAGCCAAACGTTCCTTTGCCTAAGAATTTGCCTTTAGTTATGTCGGATGCCTGAACGTTCATGTTAGGAGCAATGTCTTCAAACATCTGTAAACGATAGAAAAATCACTTAGAATACGTCAAAATTGAGTGAAAATCTAGCCATGTTAATCAAAAGAAAGAAAAGACATTGACTAGTTGCTTATGCTCTCACTGTCAAGCGTAAAACAATAAATACAATAGCAAATGAATAAAACTTTAACACCCTAACATCAGTATGCATATTCTCCCAACTGTCCTCTATACATTTCCTACGGTGCTGACAAGGAGAATTCATTTAGTAAGCAAGAGCCTCTTGAGTAGGTGACCATTTCCTATATTCTTGTTAACTTAAAGATCGATTCAAAGGTGAAATTGTAGGGAGAAATTAGATGCTAGTCACTCTTGGGGGTTAAAAGGTTAAGGGATAAGCTCTTATGGTGTCAAAAACACTTACAGCATCTGGAGCTAGCTCTTTGAGATCCAGCTGACCGTGCAGGGTGCACTCCACGGGCTCAGTGTTGTAAGCAGCTAGCACACATTCTTCGAACTCAAATGAATAAATGATTGTGTCATCTTCGGTGGGTCGCTTCCTGAACGAGCCGTATTTACCGGAACCACGTTGAAAGCTTTCAGCGCTGTCAGTGCTCCCTGCTGAATATGGAAAACAAAAAAAAGGAAATTAGACAGAGTAATATAAACCAATTGTTAGTTTGTCGCCTTTGCAGCCGCACTCTGGGATATCTCACGACGCCTTCCCCCCCAAAAAAGATATTTTGGGCACATTGCGTGACATTCCAATGGTAGACTTCAAGCGACCGACTTTGCCGAAAAGGAGAGATAACTCGCAGTATATCCCGAAGGCAGCAAAGGAGATTAATTATTAGCCTGCTTTGGTATTTTAGAGGGAATTTGGGGTGGCGAGTTGTTAACGCGCTTTGCTTTGGAAGAAACCCGCGTGATTTGCGATTTCAGTCACTTTCGTTGAACGGAAACAACGTTAACGTCCTGCGGCGTCAAAAGAATTACTATGACACATGAAAATATTCTCGATTCACTGTCTGCACCTTTGTTGGGTTCTTCTTGATTGGTTTCGTCCGACTTCTTGGACTTAGAGTTCATATCAATGACGTCACTTTCCTCGCTGTCACTACTCCTCAGTTGCCTGCGTCCTTTGCCGGATTGCTTCCTTCTCCTGCCACCCATTTCTGGAGAAAATGATTGGCTGCTTTCACTACCATGACTATCCGTGCTCTGAAAATAAGGAAAACAGTTTCTTCTGTAACAAGCAATTCGAGCGCTTTTCGATCGAGCATCCTTAAATTGAAAACCAAAGAAGGTAAAAAATATCTCAATGGCTAATCAGAGCTAAAGAATAAACTATGAGAAACACTACATGAGAAAAAACTCCAGTGAGATTCAGGAGTCTGGGTTAATCACTTGGCAAAGTTTCCTGTATTCTCGTTTTTTCCTTACCACTCTACAAAACAAAAATGCATGCAGTCAGGAAAATTCTCTCACCTGATCCGAAGTGTAATCAAAACAACTTGAACTCTCTTCCTCTGTCTCTCTTCCAGTGCTCACATACCCAAACGTGAATCTCTCGGGCTCCGAGTGAAAACTGTCACGAGAAGGGAACTTAGGACTGCTATAGCTTTGCCCCTGCTGTATATCAGAGGAGTCCACGCTCTGCGACAGCGAGTTGTCTATAAAGATAAATAACGAAGTGATTTGTGAAATGCTTATTTATCTCCAGATTTAATGTGATTAACCTACACGCATGTGTAATTGAAACCTTTCAACGGAGTAACAGGGCGAAAGTCAACACTTTGCCACTAGAAGAGTTTTGGATAGCACAGTAGCAGGAGAAAATTTTATCGAAATGTTATCCGTATCATAGGGGACTCTTGATATGACATGGCCGTCTTCACTTGACAGATTTTAAAGTTCCATCATTGAAGCACGAAGGCAATAGAACTAAAAGGTAAAAAAAAAACCCATCTTGGCGCTTCAGTAATCACACCCGACTTGAAACCTAGCTCTTCAAGCTTACAGTATCACTGCTGAATCAAACACAAGACATGACAACAACGCCACCTTAAGAAGTTCTTAATTGTTCGACAAACTCTCCTGGTCAGCACCATAGGAAATGTACAAGGAACGGTAAAGAAAATACGCAACTTGATGTAAGGGAATTAAGAGTTGCTTTCACGGTGCCTACAAAGGCGTCGTTTTGTTTGCTAAAAGGAGCCTCGTAATTTAATTTTAAGTCCTCTAATGAAAGAAACTCTTTAGATCAATTTTTAATTGGGTGTAGATAGAATTCCGATAATGCATTGGCTTTCCTTTGCTTCGCTTTATGATTGGTCCATTAATCTCGCGCCACCCTCTTCACCAATCAGAAGCAATAGCAAAACCTCTCGTAACTTGGTCACAAGCATTTTTTTACGCGCAAGGCACAGTGCACATTTTTTATTTCGAGTTTTCATTGGCTCCTGATTCTTCTTTTGCTCTTATTGACCGTTGTGACTTCTTTGGTTCTAATCTTACGACACCCAGGGAGGATCCAAAGGCGCAAACATGAAACAAAAGAGAACAAGGATGGCCGCCGATAAAAAAAAAGATTATCGAGGAAAGATTAGGCACCCACAAATTGTTGAGTAGCTTATGATCTAGTCTGTGGCTCAATTTTAACTCCCTTCATACCTTCTCCATTAGCTTCGGGTCTCCTTGAAATGTGCACAGGGCTCGGCCATGGAGAAGCGCTCGTACTACTTCCGTCAGTCGCAGACAAATTTATGCCGCTATCCTGCCCTGAGGATTGCGTCAAAAGCACATCAGGCGGTACATTATCTCTTTCCTTTTCATACTCGGCTCGATCGTTCCCGCATACGGTCATGATGCACTTGGGGCACGGAATGATCCTGGTAACCAGGCGATTTCCTTGCACTGTGATTGCATCAAGTCCTGGGAACCAGTCGGTGATGAGCGTGTCCATGTGTTCCACAGCGATAGCAACCAACCGAGCAGCAGACTGGATGCTACTGTCTGAAACAGACTTGACTTTAAATCCGATTAGCTTTGATCCCTCTCGGCGATCTGTGAATACAACATTAAATCATAATTTACTGAGCAACTGTAAATATGTTAAATCTTCAGAGCATTGGACCAATCACAAACAAATACAAGCATCCGGTGAGGTCGTTTTCAAGTGTTAAGTGGACATAGTGTTCCAGCGTCTGCATAATGTATTAGCGTTTCGCGCGAATTCAACTTCTAAATGTCACCGGTTCAACTTTTCCCGCCCGCGAGCAAAAACTTCATGGTACGCCATAAGTAGTATTTTAACACCGCAAAGAAGATAAAGCAGATTTACCGAAGCAAAATATATAGGACTGGGAAATAGACAACTACAAACCTTCTCCAGCCTTCCTTAGGCTCGTTCTTTTCGATGTAATTTTCTTTCGTTGTTCAAACTTTTCCATTCTTATGCGAACACATGGCGTTAGAACTTCAATGGTGGAATAACGAGTGGTGTCGTGTACCTCGCGGCGGTAATGCAACGGATTGGCCATGTCATCTAAGACAGAAGGAAATTATCAAATACAATACACGACTATCCACAGCAGTGTTTTGAAAGTGCATCTGGCTGCCTGCGCGTGTTCTCAAAGCTCAATAGGAAGAGAGCATCGGGAAGGTCCAGAGTTCGAATACCGCTGAAGGCCTGGGCCTTTGTCGAGCCATGAGTATTACCTTAAGATCACTAGTCTTTTTCTAATATTCATCAAGGAACTAGGTAGCACTAAATATAAAGCTGAGATTGCACCAGATTTCCATCAAGAGGATTCGAGTAACTTCCATAAACCTTTTCCACTGTTCATATGAATGAAAGGTACTGACTTGAGGAGAACAACCATTAGGTGGCTCGAAAGACCTCTCGATGATCTGATTCAGAATTCACGGCCTCCTTTCTGCTAGAAAGGACTGAGAAATCTCGAAAAAGGAAAGGCTCATTAACACTATTGCCATCCAGAAATTGCGAAATTTATGACGGGTTATATTCCATTCAGTACTGCCCTCACATTCAAATGAATATAGTAATTCTTTTTTTTTTTTAATTTGAAATAATTTGTGATTTTATCAGAATTCCCTCTCTTCGTAACTTGGCATGCTAACGAGAATGCTATTGTGTGAAACATAAACAAGAAAAGTTAACAATGACTCACCTACGAGACACATGAGATTTACCTTGAGCCATGGGTTTAACCCTTCCTCTCCCCCGATCTCAAATTAAATTCTCCCTTCCATCTACCAAAAATTTCCTTCAATTTCAGCCCTTAGAATTTTGTGGTAGATTGAAGAAGAATCCATGGTTGATATTTATAGTTCAAGGAGAAATTACTTGTTGGTCACCCCTGGTAGTGAAGGGCTAAATGTTTAAATGAAATTCAACTAGTAGTGGGAATGTCTCCGCAAATGATTGCTTTATTTTTTTTCTGCTCACCTGGTGCACCATAAAAAGGTCTTCCTTCCAGTTCACATATCCTTAGCAATTTCACTCCAAAACATGACAGTTCAATTCCAGTCTTCCAGCATGACCACTCTGGTTGAGCCACAGAAGTTAGTTTATCTCTGTCACCCTCCTGTACTGGGCCATCGGGAGACAGTTGACAACATGACTTGACTGTATCGCGGATTCGTTCATCTGGAATTACTCTGATAAAACACGTTACATATCAAGACGTTTTTCTAGAATTCTAACATCGAAATTATTCCGTCTTCATTATTTGGGCGACGCCAGATGAGCGGAAATGTGATGATAGACAATATTGGGGAGTGGGGGAAACATGATGTGAACCCGAGATAAACATGTAAATAGTACCAGACGCGAGAAAATAAGTTAGCAATGTTAAGCGCGCGGAAAAAAAAGTACGCAGTGCCAAGCGTGGTAAAAACATGCAAGTAGTGCCACGTGCGCGAAAACGTGTTAACGGTTCTAAGCGTGGAAATATAGGAAAACATATAAGGTGCCATAGGCGGGAAAATTTTGTAAGCACTACAAGCACCAAAGAAATTTATCAGCTCAGCAAAGCGCGGGAAAATATGCAAGCAGTGCCAAGAACAGGAAGTAAGCAGAGGGAAACGCGGGAATATACGTCAGCGGTGTCGTGCATGGGAAAATACGTAAGAAGAGACAAGCACGGAAAATTTGTAAGTGGCGCCAAGGGCGGGAAAAGAGTATGCCATTCATAGCATGGGACAATCTGTGAGTAAAGTAAAGGCGGGTGAACCTGTTAGCATCGGAAAGCGTAGGATAAAAGTGTAAGCAGTTTTTTTACTAAAGGAAAACGCCAACAGGGAATAAAAATGCAAGATAAAAATGTCGGCGGTCCTCAGCGAAAGAGAATGTACAAAGGAAAAAAGCGTGGAAAGCTGTAAAAAGTCACAAAAGTGGGAGTATACTCTGTAAAAAATTCGTGAAAGCTCACCTGGTGATCAGTCTTGGCCAAAAGCCACTCGGCACATAGGACATGACGTACTGTCTCCGCAGAACCTTTGGTTGAGTGTAAGCTGTCACATTCATGGCCTGAGCAACTGCCGCGCTGACGCCAGCCGCAACAGGCAGGTTAGTTTCTTGCTGACTATCTGGGAGTAGGGATGGGACGAGCAGGAACTCAGGGCTCCATGGCAGGGCCACTTCAAACTTGCTTAACAGGTTGATGTATTGGCTCATCAGATTGGCAGGGAATCGTTCACTTCGGAAAATTTGAGATAAGTCGGAGCGCTTCATGACACCTGAACGAGAAAGGCAACGGGATAAAGACAAAAATAACTAACAATTATTCATGCTTGTCTATGCATGTAATTTTAGTTATCATAACATTCTTATACCCAAACTTTGACACTAGCTTTTTTAGAGTAGTTCTCTCTTGATAGGCTCCAAAGTACAAGAGCTATCTTAGCAATTACCACCCCAAATATTCTTCGATGAAGTGCAATCGATAAACGTGGAATCTGTTAGACCCCTTTTAAGAAACATTCCAGTCGAAACCAGTAGCCTCAGATAATTCTCATATCACGCAAGCGATGCTTACCATTGTTTATGTGGGGGTTGACTTCCCTAATCGTTACAACATGAGCAAGCATGTCACACAACCACTGAGGGTCCAAAAAATACAAGTCACGCAGCAGTGGGTCGTCGTAATGTAACAAAACACCTGAAGGAAGATGGCAAAAACATATATCCGGCATATATTTTTTTAAGTATCTGGTATCACGTAAATTACCCCCATCTCCCCAGATTCTCCATATCCTTACGATTTTTAACCTAAACATCTCATATCCTTAAAATCTCCAACATAACCACTTTAGTTTCCCCACCCGTAGGATTTAAAAAAATTGTTTATGATTAAAACCACCTTAACTGATTTAAAAGTGTTCTTAGATGGCAACAATGAGAAACGAAACAGAACAGCAAGTCTAGAGAGACTGGGGTCAAGTTTAAGATGCTAGTCCACACTTATCTTCGTTTTATACCTAAAATTTATATGGAACGACATGCGAGAGTGTTATGTGTAGTCTAACTTGACAGCTGTAATACAATACGACGAGAATTCCAGGGATCAACCCAGTTATTTTTTACTGTGTTCAGTATCCACTAACAAACTTGGTAAGTATTTCGTACCATTGTCATGCAGGAAACTTGTAGCTTGTTGTAATTCCTCTGGTCCTCTAAGGTGAAAATTTTGCTTTGACAGCTCAGCTTCAACTGCAGCGCTACAAAAGAAACAGCTTCCCAACTTTATCTAGAGAAGAAGATAACCGTAAGACCTCCTCTCCCTTGCTTCTCCTCTCTCTTTGCCCAAACTTACTCCTTCTGATCTACCCTCAGCAAAACAAAGTTTTAACATACAGCTCTTGTAGAACCATATGGCGGATGAGAATGAAGTTTCCCCTTTAAGAGACAATACCTAGTAAAACTGGTTCAATTCTTAAGCTGATGGCCAAAGGAACACGTGCTACGGTGACATGCGAGAAGTTGTATGTTACCCCGAGACAATCAACACCACATTACTATGACGTACTCTGTTCAATACCTGAATTGTTCAGACTTGAGTACCGGAGTCTGGTCGTCACGGTAGCACCTCTCACGGACCACTCCCACAGCGTTCTCTACTGCGATGTAACTGGCAGGAATGGGCGTCTTTAGCAGAGGCAGGCGACTACCTATTGAGCCATGATATGGATTCAGAGGAACATCTCACGCAACAAGTCGCGGGAACATGTCTCAGCGACTGCTTCCTTCGATTGGCATGGCCTAGTTTTAGTCAAAATCTTCACTTGTGCAAGAGGGTTTTGTATCGAAACAACTCGCACAAAATCGAACTGATTTGGATTCCAAAGATGTCAGCCATAGAGTCTCATACACGCCTCTTTTTTTCAGAATTTCACAGTGGCCAAGATAAAGCCCACTACCTCACACTCAAATTTCCCGACGATCTCACTTTCTTAACTCCTCGACCTCGTTCGACTAAACAAGAATCCGACAAGAATCTGTCTGTCCAGAAAACTCGTTTGACTTACCTTTCTCTTTAATGTCAAAAGACGTGTTGTAGATCAGCTGCCTTAATTCCCGGATGTGGTACCCAGTCTTACAGCTAACCTCGATCATGGCCCTCACCTTGGGCAAGCCTCGTTCGCGTGTGTTCAGAACCTTTCCTCCGTATTCGACAGCTATATAGTTATCAGAAATCATACTTCTCAGGTTTGTCAGGTATTCTGATCTTCTGTCTTTGTCCTCTAGCATGTCGTAGTGTGTTCCAACAATGATGACTGTGGAATCTGGGGCACGAGCCTTTCAAAGAAAGAACTGAGTATTTTAACTACTTTGGCCAAATTCTGAAAGGTTCAAGAAATAATCGCCTGATTTTAAACGAGATTTCTATTTTACTTGTAAAACGCCGCCCTGGCCGTGTCATTCTATCATGTTCTTGAGAAAGACACTTTACTATCACAGTGCCTCTCTCCAACTAGGAGTAAAACTGGGTACCAGTCACTCGTTAGGGAAACCTAATTATTAGGCCTTTTGGATGTTTACGTAGGATTTCCTCATTTCACACCCAAAGCCTCACTTTTTAAGGTGGGGACTGGTGAATTTTATAAGGAAAGTATTCCCAAAACACTAGAATTAGAAGAATACCCAATTGAAAAGCAAAAAGAAAGTGGCAAAGATTAATGAAGAAGATTAGTGCAAACGAGGCTTAATGATGAATTTTCAGTAAATGACGTAATCTTGCATAAGGGTTATTGCTTGTGGTATACCGGCCATGAACTGACCACACATCTTAGAGCTAAAACAATATCACTTGTCGCTTTGTGCTACAGAAAATGCGGCTAAATTTTAACCCTTTCACTCATGTATATTATTGGTAATTCTCCTCGCTATCTGCCATACAATTCTTATGATGTATATATAGGAGAATTTGGTACTGGATCAACTACTAATCCTCTACTAATTGATATTTTCCTTTGTTCTCATCACTTATCTTCTTGATTTTGTATCGATATTGTGAGGAGAAATTCTTTCTTGGTCACTAATGGGAGTTAGATGGGTAAAGGAAGCACCCTTTGAAGCTAAAATTTAGTAAAAATTCTACGGAATTCAGTTTCGGAAAATGCACCTGGATATTCAGCAACCAAGGTTCAATTTGATTGACGCCCTGTTCGCCGTCTGTAACCTTCCACATGGCAATGTACAGCGAACGATGAGACAGGAAACACTGATGAGTAGCGTAATACTCGCGCTGTAAGATTTAAAGAGATCAGCATTTAACAAAATTGATTTTTTTTTAACTCTAATGGTAGTCCGATAGGGTCAGTGTTGTGTCAAAAGCAGAGTTCTATTAAGGTCGCCGCTTCGGCGAGAGGAAGCCCACCTTCTAGCTTTAAAAAGGCCCGCGAAAACGTAGGAAAAAATTTTTCACAAGGAAAGTGCTTTTCTTCTCTTTCAGCGCGAAAGAGGGTAGTAGACAGCATGTTTCGAGCGGATTAAGGTGAAGCGCTATAACCGTTACACCACGTATCTCAGACAGAGAGCTGCCGCTTCCCAAAAGTCGCACTGGCGTTTCACTTTTTTTGGGCTTTCTTGTTAGCTCTGTAACTCAAAGGCCGCTCTAAAACTGTTTTCTCCACTTCTGAATATAAGGACGCCATGAAGTTTCCTAACATGACCGAGTCCGAGCAATTACGTTTTGAAGTTCTGTTTGAATGCTTGTCTAATTGCTTCATAATTCTGAACCCTTTTGCTCCCAAGATCTAATTAGTAATTCTCCTAGCTTTTTGCCGTACAACTCTCAAGATATTAGGTTGGAGAATTTGGTATTGGATCACCTAATAATCCCCCATTTGATATTTTTCTTCATTCCCATCACTTGTGTGTCTGATGGTGTATCGATATTGTAAGGAGAAATTCTTTCCTGATCACTTATGGGAGTTACAGGGTTAGGGGGAGAATATACAACCCTATGACGCTTATACACTTCCATCTGATCTCACCTGTCCACCAAAGTCCCAGGTGCTGAATTTGATGCTGGGTCTATTGTCTGCTCGTCCGAAGGCAAAATCTGTTTTCTTTGGATAAATCCAATCACATACATCCACACCAACAGTAGAGATGTTCACCTCTGCTTTCTTGGTACGACCTAATAAGGTAAAGAGGAAATATTTGCAGAAGAGGTTCACAAATAGACAATGGCATGAGGTATAACCCTCTAACCCCCAAGAGTGACTAGCATCTAATTTCTCCTTACAATGTCATCCCTGAATCACTCATTAGGGCCACGAGAATAAAGGAAATGATCACCAACTAAAGAAGCTCTTGATTGTTAAACAAATTCTCCTTGTCGATACCAGAGGAAATGTCTAGAAAACAGTATGGAGAATATGCTTTCTGATGTTAGGGATTGAAGGGTTAAGCGAGCTTCGCTGTCACAAACTTCACGGTCTTTCACTCACCAATTGTAGATGGAGTCCTCTTTTTCTTGTACTTCCTCTCTGTCCACCCCACAGGGGGTGAGTTTTGGTAACTTCCCGTCCCCTCCTGCCTCAGTTGGCTCAAAAGCGTGGTCTTTCCGATGTTTGCAACGCCAACAAACATCAGTTTCATGCTCGGGTGCGGCTCAGATCTACGGCAGACAAACAAACGCAAGAAAAGTAAGATTAAAAACATTTCTCTTTCATGGCAATTTCAATCGGGCATCAAGGTTGATCCGGGATTGCATCGGTTTTGCCTCACTTTACTCCGTGATTGATCTAGAAAACTCGCACTTTCTACTCAACCAATCAAATGCAAGATGTTAAAACCAGTCGCGACTTGGTCACTCGCGTTTTCCCGCGCTCTTGGCAGTTTGCCTGCTTTAAATTTGAGTTTTCATTGGCTCGTGATAATGTCAACCTTCGTTCTGACTGGCCGTTGTGGTTACATCAGCACTTCGCATTTTGACACTCAATTGAAAACTGCTCCAGTAGAACAGCATCAAGCTCATTAACACTGCGTACCTTTCTAAAACTGATCTCAAATATCCTACAATGTCTTTCGTCTTCTTCCTCTCCAGCACACTCGGCTCGATATCATGCAGCTGCAGACCCTGGAACTGTAGATCCCACAGCTCTGAAAGCAATCCGACCTCGGGAGGTAGACGGGTAATTTTTGTATTACTCACATGCAGCGAGCCAAGCTTCGATAAGACTCCTACATCCTTTGGAAGAGTCCATAATTCATTGTTGCTGAGCGTTAGAGACTGTAAGATAGGGAACAGTACACTTGGACCTTTTGAATTCACCGGTGTAGGGTCTGAGACGGACGCTACCGAAGCGGGGCGAGTCCGAGGAAGCGTGAAGTGAATTTCTTCAAGTTTGTTGTTGTTTAGGTCGAGACGCTTCAGATTCGGTAGAGCTCTATGTTTTGCATGCCGACAGAGTCTTGCTTTGCCCGCTTGGAGTCCATTCTCCGCACTGATCCTTCGGCGCATGCCTGGTTTTTGGCCTTCAACAACACTGTAACACCGACTTTCCGTCGCATTTTTATGCAAGAAATTTTCCGCTATGGGATGGAACCGCGTCAAGTTATTGTGCGATAAATCCAACGTTCCGAGTGATGTTGGAAACAGAGCGAGCGATGGAACATCAGAAATGTTGTTATTTGATAAAATCAGCGTCACGAGATTCGTTGCTAGGCACGACAGACCCAGAGGAATCTTTACGATTTGGTTCGCCGACAAATCAAGTTTTTGAAGAGAGGCTCCTTTTGAGAGATCGATGTCTTCTTCCTCTGAGTCAGAGTCCTCGATTTCATCTCCATGCCTTGTTCCCCATAGCTGACTATGATGGAACATTTTCAAAGGGTGGTTCTGTTTGCCGTTAACTTCAGCACTTTGATGTGGTGGGCTTGACGCTAACGATGGACTCATATGCCTGTCAAAAACAAAGGTAAACGAATCGATAAACAAAAATACACATTCCACTGACTTGTCTCAGATCGGGAAAACCTAAAGCGTCCGATATTTACACGAGGTCTAACCCAAACCGCGGTTGTGCGCAAGTAGTGGGCCTCAGGGATTCTGTGTAAGAGGGTTGATTTTATAAAAATAAATGTTTGCCACAATTAGCTTTCGGCCCTCTCGACACTGTCCTCAAAAATAAACCTTCAGATAAAAGGTTCGCCTAACTATCACTATCACAGGAGAAGAATGTTGAGCTCATAATCTAATCGCTGAGTACGTTTACAAAAAGCTACAATGGAGTAAGTAAGGGATCAGCAGTTTAGAACGCCATCCTCAGTGTCAAAAGAAAAGGTGAGATACAAGTGCAAATCAACTTTTCCTTCCGAGAAATTTTTGATTGAATGGCGAAAGTAATTCTGGAAAAGAATTGGTTTTATTTTAGGTACGGGAAACTCGCCCCATCTTATCACCCAATCAGATGCAACAGAAAACTCGCCCTGTCTTATCACCCAATCAGACGCAACAGATAACTCTCCCTATCATATAACCCAATCAGATGCAACAAAAAACTTGCCCTATCTTATCACGCACTCAGATGCAACAGAAAACTCGCCCCATCTTATCATCCAATCAGATGCAACAGAAAACTCGCCCCATCTTTTCACCCAATCAGATGCAACAGAAAACTCGCCCCATCCTATCATCCAATCAGATGCAAAAGGGAGCCGATTGCGACGCGTGAGCGCTTTCCAGCACTTTAGGCAGTTTGCTTGTTTTTACTGTAAGTAGTCATTGATACTCGTGACATTTTCGGTGTTTGTTAGTCGTTCTGATTGTTTTAGTTTTGGCTTCCTGCGACACTAGGTCGGAATGAGCTCTTGGTGGACTTTAGAAAGTCGTCAAGACTTATCAGTCTCACCTGAGGTCATTTGGTAGATTGTCTTTGCTGAGAGACAGCACTTTAGCACGAGGTAGACTTGATGTTTTACTATTTCCGGTTCCAGCTCTAGCGCGTCTTGTCTTCATTACCGGCAACTTCCTCACCCAATTTCCTTTCAGATCTAGCGATTTTAACGCGGGAGAAGTCCACATTTCAAACGGGAGTGTCTGAATATCGTTGGATGAAACGTTCAAATACTTCAACACCGGCAATTCAAAAAGACACGTTGGCAAGTCTGCTAAGGAATTGTGATGTAACTCAATGTCTTCAAGGTGTGGACAGTTCCAACCAGATTCGGCATAGCTGAAGTCCTGCACACTTTCTTCAAAAACAAGATTCTCCAAAATGTTCTCGCACGAGCTGTAGGCTTTCTTCCCAACCTTTAAACTACTAGCTTTCGTCTTTTTCTCTTTCTTTCCTCCGAGCCACAGACATGGTAAACAGGTGATTGCATTTTCCGATGCGTTAAGGGTCTTTAACGCAGCCATTTGAAACAACACAATAGGAAGCTTTGACAGTTTGTTGCCCGAAATATCAACTCTTGTGATAGTTTTTAGGGACGGGTGTGGTCCGGCGAAATCTCCATCGTATGGATTGATTTTACTTGCGGCCGTTAAAATCCACTGCTGTTCAAGTTTTGTCAGTTTCATGTTATTCCAAAGTAAACAAATAGGCACCGCTGACAAACGCCACAATTCTTCAGGACTGTTGCTTGTTCTGGATGGGTGCAGCGTATGCTCTTGGTCAACTTGCGCACCTTTAGATACGAAAAGAAAAAAAAACTTTGATGAAAAGTACTTCACTTAAGGAAGAACCCGTAACGAACGAAGAAAACTCGGTAGTTCTTGAGCCAAGTGTTTCACCCCACTAAACTTATCCAGGTTCTATTTCATAGGGTGAGAAGCTACCGCCACTCTTCCTTGATGGTATGCTAGTTTATGGCAGATTATCCCTCCCTCCCGGCAGATTTTCCTGAAAGTTCGCTGATAAATCGTGTATACTACTCAGCAGAAATGTAACCTTGTTCGTCCCAACTTTCAACTCGTCTTATAGCATACCTTGTTGAAGCAGGATCGTTGTGACCTCTGTGCTATCAGCCATAATCGCTGAATTCAAGATTTTGTGGTCAACATCCTCTGCTCCGTTGCTTAACAGTATCTCTACCATTTCCAGGTCTTCTTGAGAACAAGCAATCTGAAGAGGAGAGCATCTACCAGTCAAAGAATTAGCAACTGAGGCAGCAGCAGTAGCGCGGTCACTCTCCCCCTGGAAACTTTCCGCGTTAGACTGACATAGGTTAACATCGGCACCATGTTTTAGGAGCAGTTTGACAACATCTCTGTATCCAACAGTGACCGCGCCTTGCAGTGCAGTCTGCCCCATAATATCTGTAGCATTCACAGACACTGTCAAGATGGCTTCGCACGGCCCAGCGCTACAAGGGCAGAAAAAGGATCATTAGCATATCAAAACAAATGAATCCCTACCTCGAGCGTAAGAACTCTTTTCGGCAGACGCCATGCGGAGTACGCGCCTGATTTCCTCTGGATCAAATTTTTAGACTAGGCTTTCTTTCTTTTAAAACGTGGCTCGCTTGTGCTTAAAATTGGAACGTCTCATTAAGAAACAACAATAACATTACACTGTAGATCGCACTTTGTAAGATGTGCTGAGCTTTATTGGATTTTCAATTGAGTGTCGTAAATCTAAATAAAAAATAGTCAGAACCGCTTATCAGAATATGGGCCAATATGAACACGCGGGAAAACACAAGAAAATGGACGAAAGCGCGGGAAAACCGAGTCGAGGCTTGGTTTTAATATTGCATCTGATGGGTTATAAATATGGCGTGAGTTTTCTAAAGCAACAACAGACAAAGGTAAAGGAAAAAAAGGAGTCCTTGGCTGCGATTACTTTGCTTTTGATTTTCGCCACCCATTTGAAACTGCCCTAATTATCAATAATCAACTAACTATTGTGAATATCACATGAATCTAAACAAACTTAACCAATAATAAACATCGGTCTTCAAACAAATCAGAAAAGATCACACTACTACCAGTTTAAAGGAGAGTAGAGCGCTTTTCGATTGCGTGTCGTTAACTAAAAAAAAATCACAACGACCAGTCCGAGGAAAGTAAAATACCGGTACCCTAAAAAGCCCACGAGAACTCAAAGTAATAACAACCAATCTACCTACAGCACGAGAACACGTAGGTGACCAAGACGTGACCGGTTCTAGTTTTCCATCTGACTGGTGGAAAGGGTAGGGCGTATTTTCTAAACCAATCACAGGGAGAGGTAAAGAAAAGCCAATGCAAACCCGAATTATTTTCGACACTTATATGAGAATTGCTCTAAATGTTAAGAAAAAGCTATTTACCCACCACTTATGTCGGCAATCTAAAAGTTGCTCGAGAGCTCTCACAAAGCCTCCTTGGGCAGCGAGATGAAGGGCAGTCATCTCATTTGATGTCCGAACACTCATGTCAATTTTATTGCAAGGTGCCAACTCTTCACCATCCCTAGAAACACGAAAAAAGAAAAGGGAAGTATGTAAAACTCCTAACGCATCATTATCAAAGCTTAACCGTTTCTGAAACATGAAGCGGCTCAGAGTACTGTGACTCCACTTGGACAGAATGCGAGTCCATTGCAGGTTACCCACCCCAATCCCTTCCTGAACTTAAACAAGCATGCCTTAAAATTTTTTAGAAATCATTGTATAACCCCAAGAATGAGAGGGCACTGAAAGAGTTTAGTGTCTTGCTTGAGAGACACAGCAAAGTTAATACTTCACAGTTGTTTCCCATTTCCCCTTGAATGCTGCTCTTCTAACTTATGCACGGCCGGCATTTTTAACTGTATTTTCACCTTCAGAGTGATTAGCATCCAATTTCTCTGTCCAATATTACCCCTCAACCACACATTAAGGTCGCAAGAATAAAGGAAATGATCATAAACTGTAAAAGCTCCTGATTGTTGAACAAATTCTCCTTGTCAGCACCTTAAAAATGTTTAGAGAACAGTATGGAGAATATAAATGCTGATGTGAAGATGCAAAGGGTTCACATTTACCTGGGAACTTGCAGGATGCTCTTAATGATCTCATCACTGCCTTCACCTGCAGCCACATGAAGAGCTGTTGACTTATCCATTTTGCTTGGGATATTGATTAGGTGCGGAAACTTCTGCACTATTAGTCTCACCACCTCATCGTTTCCACTCTGAGCGGCAGCATACAATGGAGCAAGTCCTGTTATTGTGTTCAGTGAACCATCTGCACCACTACTCAGAAGAAGCTTCACAATTTCAAGATGACCACCTTTACAAGCCCTGATGAATTCAAACATTTCTAATGTCTTCATGAACTCAAAAAAAGAAAAATTGCATTTGAGAAATTGACAAAACGTTAATCCTCTCTTAGTTCACAGTGCACTTAAACTTTTAAATTCAGAGAAGTACAGGGTGAGGGTACACCTTGCTCAAGGGGCACTTAACCCTTTAACTCCCATGAGTGACCAAGACATAATTTCTCCTTACAATATCAATACAATATCAAGGAGACAAGTAATGAGAATAAAGAAAAATATCAGTTAGGAGATTATAAGTTGATCCAATACCAAATTCTCCAAACTGACATCACAAGAACTGTATAGGAGACAGTAAGGAGAATTACTAATGAGATCTTCGGAGTTAAAGGGTTAATTGAACAAGGCCATATCTATTTTTTTCCTAAATCCTGGCCACATGTGATGGTTAAGCCCTTTTTAATAGCTTAAACTGTATTTGAAAGACATTGAGAACAGCAAATTTCAAATTTCTTGTATACTTGTAAAGAAGTGTGCTTCCTCCTTGGTACAACTTGTTGATTGTTGTTGTACTTGCTTCTTCTAAAAGCTCTTTCACCCTTGGTAAATCACCAGTAGCACAACAGCGATAGAGTTCTGGTGAAAAAATTATAAACAAAGAGGCAAGAGCTAATATTAGTTAACAAGACACCTGGAGGTGTAAGGTCACCCATCCTAATAGTAGCTCTCACCAATAGGGCTTAACTTCTGTGTAAGGCACAAGCAAGTGGCTAATTCCCATAGCAGACACTCAAGCACATTTTTAACATAGTCTGCCACAGGCATCCCATGTTACAAATGTTAAAATGTCATTTGACAGCAATGACAAGACTTAATTATTCATTCATTTCTTTGTTTCACATCATTTTTCCATTATATGTAACTGTTAATTTACAACCATTAATAATAAGAAATGACAATGAATGGTAAGGAAACCAAATAATAATCATTAATGCCTGTAAACTTACATTACCTCACAACAAAAAACAGAATGAATCAATATAAGCAACTAATTTGTATAGGAAATAACATGATTTCTATGCAATTTAGTGTAAATAAGCATGATTAAATATTTTCAAAGACAACAAAATTGCACGAGCCCCTTGGGTGAGTGCAATTTGTAGTATTTGAAAAATTTACATGTGGTTCAGCAAATTGCAAGAGAAATCATGTCATTACTTATTAAGAATGTACTTGAAAAAAAAATCGCAAAAAGTCAAGACAGACAAAATTTTTAATGCATGCATGCACTACTTGTAGTTTGCACTTGTGTTACATGAGAATACACTTGTTTTCAGCCAATCTGGCACATGTAATTTTTTCATATATATTATTAAGTAGGTAACAGGTTGACATAATTATTTGTAATCACTGTCAGCTTGGCCATTGCTTGGTTCAGAAATGTGATATAATATAGGTCTGGATCCTGAAAACTTATTGGTTGCTTTTGCTGTGAGACTATAAGTTGTTACACTCAAGTACTGGCTATTCTTTGTGAATGGCTAGTTTCTATATTATGTATACTATGTACGTCAGACTGTTTGGTTTGCCAGTTATGTAAATGTCATCATAAATAAATGATTTACATTCATAACACTAAAATAACTGAAGAGAGTTAGAGTAAATAAATTCTACGCACCTTGGGATATCTCTTCTTCTCGTGCTGCTTTCTTGATGGCTTGAATTAAAACACAAAACAGTTATCGTTTATAATAAAATGCCCAACATTGTAAAACAGTTAATGAAGCACAATGGTTTTTGTCTCAACAATTGACTTGGCATTAATAAAAGATATCTAAAACAATTTGATCCTTAAAAACAAACTTAAAAAATACAAATTACAGAGTTTTAAACCACAAAAATTTCAGCAGAACAGCTTACCAGTTTTCTCAAGTCAAATACATCTGAATTCAAACATAATCAAACAATATTTATGATCAACACTTACTCCCCCATGAGTGACTAAAAAGGAGTTTCTCTTCATCATATCAATATATTGTTGAGCAAAATGGTGATAAAATTAAAGATAAACTAAGCCATATTTTCCAATTATCAACCTAAAATTATAAGAAGTGTATAGCAGACAGTATTAAGGGAGACCTTCTATTAAAATTTTTATGGTTTGGGAATCCTGATTCATAAGACTTTTTTTGATGATAAGATACCTTCCATAGTCCTTAGGTAGTTGCCACAGTCAATTTCCCCCCTTTCAAATGCTATCTGCATTGCTGTTTTGCCATCTTTGTTCTTGATATCAACTCTTGCCCCTGCGTCAATGAGAACTTTAAGACAACGGAGATGGCCATTTCGGGCAGCATGATGAAGGGCAGTCTGTCAATCAAATGTTCAGTTTAAATGAGTATTGACTTCAACCAAAAAAATCCTTATGAATTTCAGTGCGAGTAAGTGTAATGCTGCTCCCTGCACCCAAACTCACAAAAGGGATGGCACTCCATTGCTCCATTACAGGTCACCCTGGCATTTTGTCAAGTGTCGCTCATATTCATTCCCACAATCAGTGACAAAGTTTTTGACACTTTAACCTTTTCCTTCCCCTTATACTTCATTTTCATCTTTTTTTGTCCTTGCAAAGTTAACCTGATGGCCCCCCCCCCCTCCTCCCAAAACAATACTGCATCATGATTCTATGATCATTACAAACAGGCAACATTAAATGGGGGAAGGGAGTATTGTCAATGATTTATAGAATGGTACAAATAGAAGTGTTACCAGTATTCCATATATAAAAAGGGACTGTTTGAACTCTATAAGTCAACTAATTTTGATGCTGATTGCAGTTACTGGTATTCTCCCAGGTGAAAAGAGGCTCTGTAAGAGTTATTAGAGGTGTACTGCCAAAGAACATAACAGAGAGACCCAACCATGGCTAGAACCCAGACTATCTCAACACTTACTAGTCCTCCATCATGTCTCCCATATGGGATACTTATTACTAAGTTAGGGGACTATATTTGTTCACCTTATACTGATCATAAGTTCCACAGATTTAATGGAAATATAAACTCCCCAAAAGTTAAATGATCTTGCAAATTATAAAAGGTTTGTGTTTCAATCTTTGTTTGCCATCTGAGAACCATGACTTGTTAGTTCCTAAGTCTTTGATAAGGAATAAGGATCTAAGAGAGTTAACTCCAAAAATTCTCCCTTTGCCATTATCCTGAAAGGATAATACTAGCTGTATTGAAAAATTTCAGACAAAGAAAATTAGACATTATGTATGGTGTACCAAACACTTACAGAACAGTTATCCTCTGGGGCAGACTGAATGTTTAAGTCTTCTGTAAAACAAAATATTGATAAATTTAAGCATAACAACATAGCGTATTCTTATTTTCCATCCAGGCTGGTATTTCACACTTTTCCTCCCTCCCATTTCCCTTAGTATATTGTTCTGGGCACAACTTTTACCGCATTGATAAAAAGAACTTCTGAAAACGAATTTTCTCAACAGATCATGTCCCCCAATATAGCCCAAATAAACTAATAAACACAATCAACTCCCACCCCAAAGTTGAAACTATTTACAACGCTGCAAAATATTAGTTGTTTGGTCTCAAACATTTACACATCCTCACTTGCTTTTGTCAAGTTACCTATCCATTCCAATAACTCTACCAAACAACCAACACTGTCATGCAGTGCAGCAGTATGAAGAGGTGTCAACCCACGAGGATCAAGACTGTTGGCTTCTCCATGGACACCGGCCGTCAGAAGAGACTTCAGCAAGTCACGCTGATCATAGATAGCTGCCTGATGCAACAGCTCCCCTTTAAACACAAACACTGGAGCAGCCATTTGAAGGAACAACTGTTACCTGGCAGAAAAATATTAGAAACAATTTCTACAAACTCACATAAAGTAGGTTGAAAAGTATCACCTTTTCACCCCTTGACCTAAAAACAAGCATTACACTAGGTTTTCCCTTATTATAAAGGTCTCGTAAACACAATTCTGTGCCCAGAATTGTAAACGCCCCTCATGAACTAATTTAGTGTTAAAAAGGACTGCTTTACAGGGCAATGCCTAGAGTAATAAAACACTCTGTAGAATGACAACAAATAAAGGCAACAGTTAAAGAATGACATGTCAGTTATCTCAAATTCAATTAGAGTGATGAAGGGACACTCCACACAGGGCCAAATTGCCCTCTTCTGACATTACAACTCAACAGGAAAATAGGTTTAATTTTTAAAGGGGTTAAAAAATTTGTGGGCTTAAATTAAATGGCTTAAACTGCTGGTAGACCTTGTGTTTTGACAAGCTTGTATTTATGCCACAAGAAGGATCAACAAACAGAGTATCTCACACCTGCTAAAGATTTACACCATGCAGGTTCTTCAGAGTCATGGGTTTTCACCACCTGAATTTACCTTTAACTCTTAAGATCCAATAAATAATCCTCCCCTTTAACTGCAACACATTTCCTTGGAAATTGGTTGAGAGAATTTGTGTTTGATCAGGAAAAGAACTCCTACCTAATGAGTTTGAGTATTCTCATTACCTGTTTGCTGGATAATATATAGATATTAGAGGGAGAAGTTACATTTTAATCACTTCTGGGAGTTAAAGGGCTGAAAGGTTTGTATACCCTTTGAAAAATATTATCTCTGTCACTAAAGAAGGGTCAAGTACACCCCAAGACCTTCAAGCTACACCCTTGCTTATGATTATCAAGACTAAAAATTTTTAATCCAGAAGTACATCTAGAAAACTTAGGTGACATGAAAACTAAAACTAAGTATCAAAGAAATTAATTCCATTATCCCTTCAACTCCTAGGAGTGACTGAATCAAATTTCTCTTTATAACATATAATCCCTGAATCAAACAATAAGGTAAAAAGAATGAAGGAAATGATCCCCACCTAAAGAAGCTCTAGATTTCTCAACAAATTCTCCTTGTCGCCACCTTAGAAAATGTATCAAGAACAGTGTGGAGAATATGTATACTGATGTTGGGGTGTAAAGGGTTAACTCACAGGAGGCATTTGATATTGACTCTGGTAGTAAGCAAAATGAGTGTCATTTATGAACCTTATGATGGCCTAGCTCATTGCCGAGTCTCTCTAGCTAGCTCTCTACCTCTCTAGGGTAGAATGTCAGAGCATGGAAACCGAAGGTCAGAGGTTCAATTCCTCATCACACTCAGAATTTTTTCTAAGTACTACACTTATAATAAGACAAATAAAAACATCTTTCTTCACTCATTTCCAAGCTTAAAATTCACTATCTTTCTCCTATGATCAACTTGTCAGAGGCCATTCAACACAGTTGATTCTTGCAGTAAGCAGGAAGCATGTCACAAATTAACCTACTAATGGCCTGAATCAACAAAGAGTCTCCATAGCTCAGTATCATAGCTCAGCATGGAATCAATAGGTCCTCATGGGGATTGAATTTTTCCTTGTCTAACATTAATGACATGAAAAACAAAAATATTTCTCTACAAGGAAACTAATTTTTTCCAGGCTCATAAGCTGTGACTTTTGTTTTCTACTGAAAGTGACCATACTTTGTGCAAATCAGCTTTCATCATTAATAATGGATGGATTTTTATTATATGTCTAATTTGGACTGTATGCAGTTAATTAAGACTTGTCCAAGCCAAAAAGTGTTATTCTATAAGCATATGACAGCATAAAATAATCTTTATCACATTTCTTGCATGGGAATGAAGTCAAGTTGTCTAATTTAAGATATTTTTCATAAAATGCTGTAGCTAAAACTTTAAATAAATCTTTAAAGGAAGTTCTGACATAACAGAATATTTATTTTGCAATTTTTTCCCGCTGTCAATTAAATATTTATCAAAAGATGGCGTGATCAGTCCCAATGACGTTCATCCATGAAGACAAAAGGAAAAGTTTACATTGTGTTGGATTCCTTTTACTCAAGAATGTTACAAATGTCATCCCTTACTTTTTGACTGTCTAAAAATACACGTTTGGGTTTGTGGATTGACCGTGAAAGCTTGAAGAATTATTAATTCTATCTTCATCAAACTACCATAAACATATTTCGATTAACATTTTCGTTTTGGGTACGCATAAATAAAATTTGTTTGAATACTCTACAAATCTGATTTTAGAGGAAACAGCTCACCACTGAGTCGAGCTGTGGACTTAAGCATTTGTATGATAATTCAAACAAACCACGCTGATTACAGGATCAAACATCATACAATACATTAGTCTCAAAGACCATCAGAGAACGAAATCTGTTAATCCGAGATCATTTACAACACATCTTACAGCTTAATTCTAGAATACGACAGACATTTCTTCATTCGATTTATTTCGCTGCGAAAGTTAAGTATTTAAAGATATAAATAAATTTAGCCTACTAAATTGATTGGGAAGGGATGTTTCTTGAAGTAATCTATCGTTCTTCCCCTCTGATCGGAAATCCCCTCTTGATCAATACATTTGAATCGCTCGAGTGTGATGTTTGTATACAACCTCATGACGGGAGCACGCCGAAAAAAATACTGGGTCTTTTTATAAGTGTTTTCACTTCAGGTACTGCCAAATTTTGATGATTTTAGAAGAACCCTGCTTTCCAATATTAATATCGCCAAAGAGAGGAGAGCATTCTGCCCAACTTACCTTTTAATTCTCAACTTGATTCAGTGACATCCAAATAAGATTGAACTTTATGCAGAACTTCAATCGTTCGCCGGGAAGAAACTTCTGCCATGTTGAGCACATTGGTACGCCCACAGTTCTTCTTCTGGCGTTCAAAAATTAATTTAAAATATACTAACAGTACTAATACCACTCTTTCGGACTTACGAGCTGCATGTTAGGAAGAAATCCGACAAGAAGAAAGACCTTTGCCAAAACCCACTTACACCACACCAAAGTGAGGGAGATTGGAAATAAGAAATTGTCATGAGTGGGAAGGGTGGGTTAGTACACTATGACGATAAGATTCAAAGCCTTGAGAAGCAAAGGAAATAGAAAAGATGGGAGAATTAGGATGAATCCTTTTCCAACTAAATTTTTGTTCAACTGAGATCTCCTAGCAAAAAACGTATAGGAGGAAAAACGACACAGGGCGATCGAGTTGAATTTGTTGCCTCTACTCGCACATCCCTTGTTGAATTCAATACCAATCGCACACGAGAAAGATGGAATCAGAGAAACTTTATATCACAATTTTTCTTCTTTTTTTCCCCCTTGATCTGTTACATTTATTTTGGGGTGTAATCTGCTAAAAATAGTCTTCAAAACGAAGGAAGAAAATCCCATGCGACCAATTTTGAGGGTTTGTGATTGGATGAAAACATCCGGTTTGTATTGTCAGCGGATTATTTAATTTCCTCGTCGCCGACTCATCGTGAAGGTTCAAATTTAGTATATAAATGCAATGGAAGACGAGCTCTCCCGGTGGATTAAAGAAACTGTTTTTGCCTCTTACATGGAGGAATGTCAAATTCTTAACGAACTGGACTTTTCGTATGGACATGAGTATGATTTTGAGAAAGATTTTTCCTCAAGCGATCCTTCGTCCTCGAGGAAGAGAAAGGTTGCTGAAGATGTTGACCACGTTTCAGCGGGAAAACAAGCGAGGAAGAGTTGAAACTGCAAAGATCATGTCAAGGTATTGACAACGAATACAAGTCGAAAGGTGGCTTTCGCATTTTGGAGAGGATTTCTTTTGCAGCTTTTGACCAAGGTTGTATTTGGAAATTTCGGATATTAACCGAGCACTTCGATAACTTCGAGATTTATCCAAAAAGGTGGAAGTTTCTAGATGCTTTTCTTCAATAGAAATCCGCATTTTTACTCTGATGACTGCTATTTAGCGTTGGCAGTTCTTACTGTAAGTTTCAACTTCAAAGTTATAATGGAGCATTGTGACAGAAAGAGAGGGCACTGGCCGCCATATTGCCAAGGCAACGAGAACTTTACGTGCAGTAGTTCATGCAAACCCGAAGTGTAGTGGTAATTACAAACCTGCATGTCACCATTTCAGGCAAAGTGGTTAATTATTAAATCAAGATTACTAAGTTCAATGTTATATTTGCTTTTTTTCATATTGGGAATTTGGTTTCAGGGTATCTAGTGTCTAAATTGACTCTGGTACATGCCAGTGTTGTCCCAGTGATATTATGACACACTCTTGCCTAACCCTATTAGTTTTAGCTATTATTAGTGTCACATAAGTTTCAAATTTTTGTTGTCAATCTTGTGTGTGCCCACACTTACAAGCCAGCTAGAAGTTCCTTGCAGAGCTGTAACCAACTAAACCCTTTTGCCATTTCAAGGAAAATCAGCAGATGGCACACAGACATCTTACATAATTAGTGATTGGCATGCACTAGTAGGATGTGTGTTTTTTGCCTCTTTAGGTGTCAAAAGATCTAACACAACTCCCACTCTTCATTTTTATTACATGCCAAAGCGAGTCACATGATTTGATAACTTGTTCTGATTTTACAGATCACTAGTTTAATCACTTGATCGCATAGGTGAGTGTGCGTCATTGCATATCTCAGTCAGTGATGTAAATTATGCACAAATTAATGCCATACTTACCATGAAAATGGAATGATATAAAGATGTTGGACTTAACTGAGGAGCAATCATAAAAACCTGCGGCCCCCCTAAAACTTTCAGGAAAACAAGGAAAACCAACAGTATTTAACTGTTGTAAAGGTCTAACCTTTTACTTTGAACTTCAATTCATCTATAATCTTACGTTTTAAAGATCAGCTTGTTCAATGCGAATTAAAAGTTTTCTTTTTGAATATCTCATTTCATCTCTGACCTCAAAGGTGTAAGTTACATGTTTATCTATCCACAAGATGGATTTGAGTTGACCATAGATTAAAGTCCTTGCAAGTTTGTTGAGAAAGTAATACAGTGAAACCTGCACTGCAGACTCTATCAAGTGCACACCTTGCATCAAGCAGACAACAACTCAAGTCCTGTAACAGTCTATTATTTATTAAAACACAGACTTGTTTTTAGTAGAAAACCATCAAAGTGCTCTGAACTTAAGCCCTTTCTTTAATTAAGAGATTCGAGCTTTATTTTTTATAGATTACAGTTTAAGGTTATACTCCATTCATTCAAGAAATCTCTTTCACCTATTAATATTTATCTCATCAACATAATAGTCCAAACTCTATACTAGGAGGAAACCTTATACTAAGGTCCACGGGTGTTCACTTGACACAGGATTTGTCATCTGTCGTATTATTACGTTGAAATGCTATGTGATTAAAGGTGACCTTAAACAAGAGATTGTTGTGCATTCAGTGGGAAATATCCAAGGATATGGACGTGCAAGCCTGAATCCAGTTTTCACCCACATTTTCAAACTTAAATACCATAGTATAAGGAGTGTTTGATAAAAATCACTCATACTTAAGCAGTAAATTACATAACCAAAAACGTGAATCATGCAACATAAAGGTGAAGTACATTGACTTCAGTATGCGGGAAAGTTTGATAAAAAAAATCATGTACACTTAAATGGTAAATTAATAATCAATAACATAAATCATGCAACATTAACTTGAAGTACACTAACCTCAAAAATAAATGACATCACAATTCTGTTATAACCTTCTGCACATGCAGCTGACCCAAACATCTTTTAAAAATCTCACAAAAAATGACGTTTTGACCCCTGCCTAATTTCCATGTCCACTGTACAACTGTCAGCACTACTTTTCTACAAAATAAATGGGAAGTCACTTTTTTATAAGATTCCTACTATCTCAAGAGTGACTGAAAGCCAAATATTGAAACAACACATGCACTCTGAATTGAAACATCACTTGAACTACCAACCCTCTACTGCTGATATCTGATTTTCAGATCTCCTTTCTAGCTGCTACATACATTTTTCTGAAATTTAGTTCTCAAAGAAGATAATGAATTTAGTAATTAACTGCCTAAATTGCAGTGCCTCTTTCTAGGTTCTGTTTGATTTCAGCAGTGAATGGATCATAGAACCTTGCCAGTTTCTTGTTGAATTTCATATTGCGTTCATTGATGTAATCTATATCTTCTTCATCCAGGTGAGCTCTTCTTCGGCTGTACTTTTCTCGTTTGTCAATCCTGAAATTCAGAAAGTATGCAAATGTGATCAAAGGAGGATTGTAAAATATATTAAAGTTCACACGGCAACCAGGTGGACAATCAGACATGGTTTGAAGCTACTCTGATTTGCAGATTTAATGAATATAACCAAAGAAGTTACAATTCATAGACCCAACATTTCAACACCCCTAACTTCTTTCGTTACATTCATTGAATCTGCAAACCAGAGTAGCATCAAACCATGTCTGGAGGATTGTAAGTTTACAGATAAGCCGAAGCAGCAAAAGCTTGCATGGTGTTTTGATTAACTGTCAGGATCCAAGAGGGAAAAAGATGCATATCATGAAAAGCAGGTTAAATTGAGTCTCTGGAGGAAATTAGCTCCAATTGCTGTGCATGCAGCTTACTCCTAAATAGGATGCTAGTCTATTAGGCTCTCAATCACTGATCCCAATTTATAATTTACAATCCTAAGTGATGAGAGGCATTGTGAAAGTAGGGGGGAGACACTTTGAGGTTTAAGTGTCTTGCCCAAGAACACAACACATTGATCCAAATAGGGCTTGAACACCCACTAATTGATCAAGAGTTAAGTTCACCAAACACTAAGCCAGCACTATTACTATGGAGTATGCATCAACACTGCTCTCCAAAAACAAAACTTGATGACAGTGATATAAAAATAAGAAACATAATTATCAATTAATAGACTGAGAGGGACTTTCTACCAGGTGGTTGACTATCTATTTTTTTTCTAAACAGCTCGTAACATTAGTGGCAGAAGTATCTTATCTCCTGAAGTTACATAGTTATATGAAGTTATATATACATGATGTGTAGCAGTATTCTGTCAGTAATTTTATGGTCCAAAGGCAATAAATAATAAGTGTAATTTTATGAATCAAACTAAATATTTGGTAGCCAATCAGAACATGGCAATCACATTATATTACCTGCTTGCAAAGATAGCCACACAATAAAAAAAACTCTTATGGGTAATTTTGTATGACACTAGCTTTTCAAGATGAATGTTGGTCAAAATTATATCATGTACTTACTGTTTTTCTAAGTCTGCAACCATTCTGTCTACAGCAGCCTTTGGAACTTTTCCTTGCCCTCCATAGCTGACATCATCTACAGTGGGAAACATGGCTTCCCCTCTGAAGAGGAATGGTTATTTATTTTAGTGCAAATAGTAAAACAATAAAGCATCACTATTTAAGATACCATGACTGAAGTTAAAATTAAATGGCAAACATTAGTAAACTTCAATATGTAAGCGAGGAGTTTTTGGCAAAAACAGGAGAAAGGGGTTTTTTGGTTGTTTGAACAAATTAACAAGACTTGATTTCTTGGTATACACCTTTCATTTCACAGGAGAGTTATCTGCCTTACACTTCTTTCACTAGCATGTACTTCATTAACTTAATAAGAACTACACTGCAAAGAAACACAAATAGAATATTAAAACTTTCTCATCACATTTACCACCTTGATCTGCACAGAAAATGAAAAAATTAGAGCTTTTATAACAACCATGCAACCCTACACCAAGCATCCTCTTACTTTTGCTCAACCTCTTTCTTGTAATCTTCATTTGAAGGTTTCATTTGCTTGGTGAGGCGTTGGTATTGTCTGTATTGAGCTGCAGCAAAATCTGCCAAAGAAAAATGAAAAAGTTGTCCTCAAGAAAGTTCTCAGATTTTTCTGCCAGATAAGTCACTTCATGCATTAGAACTAGTTCACATGCTCCTAGAAAAATATATTGAATAACTGATTCATAGCAGAGGCAAATGCTTGTATAGACTCCTCTCAAGAAAGAAAAACATATATGAATTCAAAGTACATAAAACTGCCGAACTGCTTGTAAATAATTTAAAAATAAATAGCGTACCTGAAAAACCTTGATCAGGGTTCTTCTTTTTCCTCTTTCTCTCAAATCTATCAGCATCCTCTGCAGATATCTCAAGCAACTTTACTCTGTCATAATCTTCTCCCCGTGAATCAGCTTCCTAAGACAGTCAGGGGATTATCCATATGATTATATGATACAAAACCATAGGTGTGCATTGTTCATAAGATTCCCTTCTAGAATGTTACAAAAAGTGGATTGATCTGACATGACAAATGGCAAAAACCAACAAAAGTAGTTGAGACACTCTATTGAGAAGACTACCATTAAAAAAAATAATTTTCTCAAGTTTACATCAAATTCATCATTCTCCTACTTTTCCTTTCATGTTATACACCAAAATTGCTAAGTCTTGGCTATAAATTATCTACATCTTTTGGAAGAGAATTGGTAGAATCAAGTGGCTAAGATATGCAAAGCAGTGACAGCATTGTGGCTTACTAAAGTCTAGTGATAAACAATTTTGTGGCAAGGTGAGACAAGCTCAGAACAAGAATATTGCACATGACATCCCAAAAGCCTTGTCCAGGACTACATTTAATTACCACAGACTTAAAAAAAGTCAATTGTACTGCTTGAGTCAGCATAGTTATTAATAGCTAGTAGGATTATGACACCTTCATTTTCTGGTCATTGCCTGCTTCAAAGAATATCAACGATAACCAGCAATAAAAGTTTTTTAATATCAGTATGAGATGTACAATTAAAAACATTTGCATATATATGTATCTATATACCTTTTTAGCCTCTTCTTCTTTGTTCTCCCATTCTACTCTTCGCTGCACAGCTTCCCAGTTTTTAGGTAGCTTCTTTCTCCTATCTTCTTCTGCCACTTCTTGATGATTTAATTTACGTGCTTCATTCTGTAAACATTTAAAATGACGAGTTTCAGAGATGAATTCACGAAATCACTGTTCCTCGTTAAATTCAACAACATACTTTGATAACTTATAGACCCCAGACAAGTCTAATTAATTGTCAAAAACGGGTAAAAAAATCATCTCAATTTATATTAAGGCAAAAATCCGATCCATATGTAACCTACACAGCTTTTCTATATTTTCTAACAAACAGAAACAATGATTTAACCCTTCTTAGATGAAGCTCTCTCAATCTCTTCATTCTTTCCGCTCGTTTATCAGCGGCTGATGTGGAGGAAGACGACGATGAAGGACCAGCCTCTAATTCATTGTTTTCATCTAAGACAGAACTCTTGCTTGCACTAGTTTCGCCTTCCATCGCAGTTGATTTAGAACCCTCACTCTACAGGAAAAGTACAAAACTCCGTTCAGATCTTTTTCTTTAAATCAAGGGATCAGTTAATCACAAATTAATTTAAATGCAGGGAGAAAAAGTCGATTTAAAGGATATAGCTATCGACTTACTTCTACAACGACTTGTGACGCCATATTCCAAGTGTTCCTTGAGTTTGAAAGTTGAGCCTGCAGTAGAATCAATCAGTGGATAGTTCATTACAAAAGATATGTCGTGTCATTCGGAACAAAAAGTGCCAACTAGATGCCAGGAGTCTTCACGTGTCACTTGGTCACTTTCCTTGACTTTCGGAAATGGCGGCTAGTTTGGGATACAATGATTCGGATGTTGTAATTGTTGCAGCTGGAAGAACGCCAATAGGAAACTTAAATGGTTGTATTAGCTCTCTTAAAGCGCAAGAACTTGGCGCCTTGGTCATTCGAGAAGTTTTGGCGCACGTTAAGATCTCCCCAGCCGACGTGGCTGAGGTGATTATGGGACAGGTTTGCACTGCTGGTGTGTAGTGAAGATATAATGTCTTATTTATCAAATTGCAGTTGCTTTGTAGCAAGGAAGATGTAACTTTATCTATTATAGGTTCGTTCAGATTTGCAAATTACCTACTCCACCCCTACCACCCCCAACCAGGCGCTCAGGAAAGAGGTG